TAACACACAATTGGGAGATGAGATGAAGTTGTAATTGCAAGTAAAAAATCTGAATTGCAATTGTTTAATTTCTCGCAATTCTGACTTTATATCACGCAATTCTGACTTTATATCTTACAATTCTGAGAAATAAAGTCAGAATTGCGAGATGGAAACTTGCAATTGGCAGAAAAAAAGTCACAATTATCTTTTAAAATGTTTTATTCTCTGGCAGAAAAAAACCTTCCATATAGGACTGATCACTTTGTTAGAATTTTGCAGGTAAAACATCAAAAACTAATTGCTTTAAAAAGGCCTTAAACACGTACAGTATCTAATGTTGAAATGCTGTGAATACCTGATTTTTGTATTTCTAATTTTTTTATGATTTATATGTTTATGTGTGATTTTTAAGCTGCCTGAAAAAACTAAAATAATACACAGCTACGTTTAAATGGCCAATCAATTTTCAATCACACCTTCCTTCCATCAGAGCAAACTCATGTTTCTCATTGTGTCGCTCATTTCTTCCTCCAGAGTGCTATTTGGATCCCCGCTCATCGCATGTCTTTCAATCCTGTTCTCTAAACCCGAGTTTCTCTAATTGCCTTTAATTTCTAGAGTTAATCAGGAGCATTGTTAATTACATGAATATTTCAGAGGAGAGCTCATTACGTGTGGATGTGGCACGCAGACATAGAGCGAGAAGAATGGATAGGTCTAATTACCGCATGAGTAACGCTGGCTCCCTGACTGTGATGGCAAAACACAATAGAGAGACGGTCAGGGAAACACTCAGAGACACAGACAGGGGAGCGGAGGATGGGGTTCGACACAGTAAAGGTCACTGAATGCAACATTGTAATCAAGGACCAATAAGCACACCTTCCTCAATCTCAAGATGAAATCATTTAATTTCAATTACATTTATTGGAGAGTTTTCCAATACATGTTTGGATGTACTGCGTTCAGTGTAAAGAACATACGCTTTGTGAACTGAAATATATTAAATATACATCTGAAAGATAACACCGGAAACAAAACACAGTAACACTTGAGCAATACCTTTCAACAATGAGGTTACTGTTGATGCTGTGGCCCATGGCTCTTGTAGTATCAGCAGCTAAGATGTCAGTTCAGTCAGGAATACTTACTGTATGTCAAATGTACAGTATTTTATTATTTTGGCAATGCATACTGTTAGCGTTGGCTGTATGGCTCTGTTCTGGACAAACACATGTGCACATACATGCCTGGACAGAGCGAGCAGAGCAAGTCAACAAGTAAGACACTTCATTTAAAGGGTTAGTTCACCCAAAATGAAAATTCTGTCAGTATTTCCTCACCCTCATGTTGTTCCAACCCCGTAAGACCTTCGTTCATCTTCGGAACACAAATTAAGATATTTAAGATATTAAGATCGCTCCTGCATACAGTCCATAGGCTTCTTGAGGGACTGGCTATTGCTGTCCTCGAAAAAGTCATTAAAGACATCGTTAAAATAGTCCAAGTGACTACAGGGGCTCAATCTTAAGTTTATCAAATGACGAGAACACTTTTGTGCGCAAAAAAAAACAACAAAAATAACGACTTTATTTCAACTATTCGTTTATTTCTCCCTCTGCGCGAGTCAGGTTACTAGTTTAATAGCGTAAGCTTCTGTTATTGTACGTCACACGCATCACACACACATGACCAGCGTCGGCAATAGTGAGCCTACGTGTGACGTAGCTCTACGCAATCACACTACGTTAACTGACTTCATGGAGAAGGAAGTGAATAGTGTAAATAAAGTCGTTATTTTTTGTTGTTTTTTTGCGCACAAAAGTGTTCTCGTCGTTTGATAAACTTAAGATTGAGCCCCTGTAGTCACTTGGACTATTTTAACGATGTCTTTAATGACTTTTCGGGGACAGCAAGAGCCAGTCCCTCAAGAAGCCTATGGACTGTATGCAGGAGCGATCTTAATATCTTAAATATCTTAATTTGTGTTCCGAAGATGAACAAAGGTCTTACGGGGTTGAAACAACATGAGGGTGAGTAAATACTGACAGAATTTTCATTTTTGGGTGAACTAACCCTTTAAGTTAAAATACATGAGGAAGGATGATTACAATATTACTGAAGACTATCACAAGACATAGATCAGATTAGATCACAGAACCCATGCTGCAGGTGGAGTTGCTGATGGAGCGTGAAGTTCAATTCTGTCGACGGCCATGCAATTGAAGAGTGGCCGAATGATATGTAAAAATGGGACTGGTACACATCAGAAACACCTGTGTTTAGGGGGTGTAGGGTGCTCTGTGTACTTTCCCTGTGGAACATTCTTAGGGAATACAGACAGGAACGATTACACTTCTGCACTTTGGCCTCTTGAAAAGAGACGCATACAAAGAGGCCCATGGGAATTGCTCTCTGCTAAAGTAGCGTGTTTGAGGTCTGGGAGGGCACTGTGCACAGGGGGAATGGTGTGCTTGTACACTGTGTGCATTTGTCCATGAAAAGGGCACAAGCTCCAGAAAGTCACCAATGTGAGAGGACATTACTTGGCCGTAGGCCTTCTGCCATTAATGGCTCTATTGGGAGGGAAAAAATCAGGGATCAGGGAGACTAGATTTTTATAATTTGCCTTTCAGCAATGCTCGTCCTCTGTTAAATCTGGTGGACAATAATTTTCTCGTACATTCCCATAAATGTACTTTCATTTCATTCTTGTTCCATCCTTTAAATATCAATGAACTTAGCAACCATTTTTTTTTTTTTTTTTAATTTCAACGAATTGAGTTTTTTCATCATAAACTTTTTTCTTGCAGGTCTTCCAGCCCTTGTAGTCGCTGTATCTGTGGGTTTCACCCGAGCTAGAGGTTACGGCACACCAAGTTAGTAAGTATCACTGATGCAGTGTAGTCTCGCAAGGAAAATGTTGAGACGTTTATCTTTAATCAAGTGCCATTTTGAGGGTTACATCAAGTCTCAGGTGTTGTAAGGATGTTATGTGTGTGAACATTGAGTAATCTGTATTATAGTATAACATATGTAATGCAGAGATAACATATGAAGAGTTCAGATGCAAAAGCCTGTCATTTGAAATTTTCTTCTAGAATGATAATTTTTATCAAGCTTGTATATTTAAGTTCAGTGATTTCACTTAAATGGCAATGATAATTACCTATTAATTGATATTTAAGTGAAATTACTGAACTTAAATATACAAGTTTGATAAAAATCATCATTAAAGAAGAAAATTTCAAATGGCATTTAGAGACTTTTGCATCTGAACTCTTCATATGCAAAAACAACTTTCCTCATTGGGGAAATTTCCTTTTAAAAGTAATGCATTACAACATTGTGTTTCTCCCTTAAAAAGTAACTAATTGTGTTACTTTTTAAACAAAAATAAATGTTGCATTACTTTTGCATTACTTCTTCTCAATTTGGCTGGGCTTAATAACAACAACAATAAAAGTTATATTTTTGGCAAATGTAAAGGCCCCTTCACACTGAAGTGAAACGAATAAGCCGTAGGCTGAAGGAAATGCAAATGAATGCCTGTAAAGTTGAGGACACAGCTCGAACAAACATTTCAGCAGTGTTGCCATTCTGGATGGAATAGAAATTAGAATGGATGGCTAAAATAGAAGAATAGAAGAAATTGCAACACTTTAGTTAAATAGTATATTTAAGTTATTTAAAGTTAGGGTATGGGATTTGCAAAACGGCTGGCAGATTTTGAAAACACACAACTCGAAAGGTCTTACCTTCTTTCCTCTAATGCTGGCCCTGACTCCACCCATTCGAAGAACATGGATGTGCATTTTCTCTGTACCGGGGCGACTTGCACTTACTGTGAATGGGTCACAAGCTTTGAGTATGTGCACGAAGGTGACACGTGCGCAAGGGGGCTGGGGGAGGGGGGATGGTACGACGTTTGATTGACGCACTGACTGTCCATTGATTCTAGGTGGTCTTGGAAATGATTGGCTGGAGTTTTTCGAGTCCTGCCCGTTCCACAGATGATTAAATGGCTTAATTTTCATTTTAGTACTTCTACCTCAGTGGCTCTAAGTGGGTTAGGAAAAGGATTTCAAGTGATTTTGATATAATTGTCAAAAAAGAAAATCACATTACTCCAATAAACTTCAATAAACATCATGTCTACACTACGCACACAACACCTATGCACTTACTCTCGATTTCTCTCAACATGGAGACAAGAGAGGTGTCGGTCAATAAATGGGAAAACAAAGTAACTTACATTACTTTTGAAGAAGTAACTTTACTAGTTACTTGAAAAAAGTAACCTGGTTACGTATCTCACGGTTTTTGTAATGCGTTTACCCCCATACGCACATCACATTGAAAATATAACATTAAAAAGTGTGAAATAGGTGCTAAGATACCCAATGTTTTAAGACACAAATCAAAGTCTGTGTTCAGTCAATGTTGCCTAATTTTGACCATTGACCTTGGAAGAACTTTTTACAGTCAGATCCTTCCTTGGGCTGTTTTTTTTCCTCAATTCCTATGAATTCCCTCAAAGAGGGGCCAATTTCCTGCTGCTCTGCATATAATGGTTTTTGTCTTTACTGCACCACTAAGCAATTGATTTAAACCAGGGAGCTCTCTGACTAATCGGAGACAAATGTTGAAAACAATGGTGTCCTTTGAAAGCTTTAATTGGATGTGTTTGACACATGGGTTCCCCTCAAACCAAAAGACAAATTTTGGAAACAGTGCCAGGAAGTCAGTCGCCTCAGATGACCTTACCTCTGGGCTGCATACTTCTCTGCAGTCTTTTACATATAAATGCATGTATGATTGAAAACATGTGTCTACAGTCAGAATTTAAACTTGATTTGATTTTTTTTTTTTTTTTTTGATTGTCCTTGACCAGAACATTAGCAAAATGTAGAAATGGCTCTAATGCTTGTATACAGTATGAAGTATGACCTTCGAGATCTTTGTGTATAACTTTAATCAGACAATATCCTGATCTGTCCATTAACTTTGCAGCTTTTATTTGGTATCTGCAATGAAATCAATTTAACAATGTGTTATTTCCAGAATCCTTACAAGGAGTATGATGAAGAGGTTGTATTTGAAATATCCCTCTTCAGTTTCTTAATTTAGGGAACCAATTTGGTTGGAGTCCAAGTTTAATTTAATCTTTATTTGTCTGAAGAAAAATAATTGAAGGTTAATGAAAACTGCAATTCATTCCACCAACCTTTTTTTTTCAACACTCCCTTGTGATTTTCTGTTTTATATTTCACTTTATCTCTCTCTTTCTCTCAATTTCAGTTGTTGGTTGTCTCTGGAAGGGGGGCTGCTCTATGCTTTCGTTGGTCCTGCTGCTGTCATTGTACTGGTAAGTTTCAGACTCTGCTTTCCCATTGGTTAGATTGGTAAAACATTTAATATGCTCTATAAATATATCGCCTGAGTCGAAGAGAAAAATCGCTCACTAATGAGATTAGAGTTGAGGCCTGTCTTATTTAAAATGTATTTTTCATCAGTATATCATGCTAACATGCGTGAGTAAACTTGATGAGCTTATTAGACCAAAGCGACCAAAGTGTGTTTATTTATATATCCTCCATCCCCGGTCTCAGGTGCTGTGTGTTTTCTGTGAGGTGTTTGCATTGTTTTTCATGGTCAGATGTGATTTGCGTTGTTTGTTTCGTGGTGGTGGCATAAAGCTGCCCTCTCAAACAAACAACTGCAAATGAGATTTAGGCATCTGGAGATGCCAGCTCCCCCTTTGGAGAGGCAAATCTAATTAATGAAAAAATAATTAATCTTGCCTCCAGCAAATGGTAAAGTGGAGACCCATTGTCTAAGCAAGCGCCTTGCATGATCAGAATACGAACGGCACTCGTAAACATGTTAGACTTGGTAGGTTCGATATGCTCTTGGACTGAACATGCTGAGTATTGATTGAGCACAGGGGTCTTCAACAGGGGGGCGTTACGATGATGCTGAAGGTCTAGACAATTATTGCTTCCTCTTAAACTATTTCTGGGTAGCAACTAGGTAAAACATTAGTTAAAGGGTTAGTTCACCCAAAAATGGAAATTATGTCATTAATGACTCTCCCTCATGTCGTTCCAAGCCCGTAAGGCCTCTGTTCATCTTCGGAACAAAGTTTAAGATATTTTAGATTTAGTCTGAGAGCTTTCTGTCCCTCCTTTGAAAATGTGTGCGGCATACTGTCCTTGTCCAGAAAGGAAATAAAGACATCATCAAAGTAGTCCATGTGACATCAGTGGGTTAGTTAGAAAGTTGTGAAGCATCGAAAATACATTTTGGTCCAAAAATAACAAAATCTACGACTTTATTCAGCATTGTATTGTCTTCCGGTTCTGTTGTCAATCCACATTCAGTGAGGCTGCTGAAGTGTATCTGGTGCATCCGTGTATTCGGGTTCAAATAAATATTCAATTAATTTTAACATTTTTGTCCTTGCATTGGAATTACAATTGCAAATATGCATTTAATTTGATGTTTCATTTCAAATGGAATTAAAGGTGCTGTATGGATTTTTTTTTTGACTGTATTAACGCATAAAACTGCCATAATATATTTGCAGAGATTTAGGAAACATGCCAAGGTCAAAAACTTGTTTCTCAGAAAAAAAAATAATGCTACATCCACTTATTCTACTAAATTGTGTGTGCCAGGTGGGAATGTCTGTGGTCTGTGTGATACCGCCCACTGCCAATTTACCCGATAGTATTTTGACACCCCGGGTAGCAAGTTGCCATAAAACACAGCAAATTGCGATGGAAGCCAGCGAACGAACTGAGTCAGAGATTGCAGATGCGTGTCCTCAATCTGGCAACCCAATATTGAGTCTCGTTGAATCTGCAGTACCAATTTCAATCACTATCTCTCAATATTACAGACTGCACCTTTAAAGAGTTAGAATTTAAATTCAAGGCATCCTCAGTTCAGTTCTTAATGATGTACAACCCTGTTCTCAGCTAGCAAACAACACTACTCAAATAACAAAGTAGATAACACTTCTGCTATCTTTTTCTTGCAGGTAAACATGCTGATTGGAATTGTGGTCTTCAACAAGCTCATGTCTAGAGATGGCATCTCAGACAAGTCCAAAAAGCAAAGAGCAGGGTAAGTGAAGGTCAAAGCGATGGCTAAACGATACCCATCTATTTCTGGATTTGCACCAAGTCACTCATTTACAACTGGCCTGTTAAAGGTTTTAAAATATCCTGTCAAATATTTGTATGGGCGAAATAAATTACTCATGCACACACTCACAGAGACAACCACTAAAAGTTGAAAAACATCAGACTGAAAGCCAAGATATGACAACTTCATTAATGGACTTGTATTGATTTGCTGACCTGCTAACCTCAGGCTAGTTATCTGATAGCTCTGTCATTAGCTAAGTGTATATTCATTGTTCATGTAACTGCACATACTGACAGGATCAAGGAGCTCTTGTGCTTTTAAAACGCTTGTTCTGTTTTGCCTTTGTTTGGTCCGACACAAAGCAGAGTGATCCATTAAACACTTGTGTTAATGAGTGGACCGCCACATCCCTCACCTTAAACGAGAGGCTAAATCGCACTGAGAGATTGAATATTCCCATTCCGCTCCATGAATCCTCTACCTGGAAACTTAAAGAGTGTTCTCACAGCCCTCCAACTTTAATTATGCTACCACCACATCGGAAATCTCCATTTTTAAGTGCAGTGCATTGTTTAAAATGAGCCCACGGGTCAACTGCTGTCTAGCTCATTGCGATGCATAATCGTGTTTTCGCCAATAGTACACTAAAGGCATGAGAACGGCCTTAATGCTTATAGTGCTACTGAATTAGTGTGTCTAATGGGCACGGATAGCCTCTCTGCTTCGAATGCATGTGTCATTTAGATATGTGGCATTGCTTTGGTGGACCACCATACCGATGTCTTAGCAGGAAACTGTGGGTCTTACTAATTGAATGAGGAGCTAATCAGAGATCTGAGCTAATCCAATGACTGGCTATTTGTAATCCCTCCAGGACATTCTGCAATGTTCCCCTAATTGATTTGTCTTTTTTCCTTTTCACTTTCTTTTCTTGTAATGTTTGTGTACAAGGGAGATCAATGCATATTGGGAGCTGCAATGGCTAACTATGGATTTTTCAGCTTGTGGCTTGTACATAAAAATATCCCTGTGTTTAAATTCAGTTCGACTCATTTCCATATTCACACTCTCTTGTGCTGTCTTTCACATTTCACATACACTGCCCGGCCCCCCAAAAAATACTGTTCGGATTTAAATGGGCAAACGCTTAAGCCTAGCAGTTATTATAATGTTTCTAGCATGTTATATGTTTGGCATTAGTTCGTCTAACCCTAATTGGTAGAGTGTGTAGCTTATCATTTCTTAAAGAGCCCCTATCATAGCATTTGAAATGTTCCTATTTTTGTTTTAGGAGTTCCCAAAAACAGTTTAACATGCATACAAGGATAAAAACACTTTATTTGTCTTATAATATGCATTTATTTTTAACTGATTTGCTCACCGACTCCCGAATGATTCGTACAACGACTCATTTTTCCAAACCACTCCTTTGCGTGACGTTAATCAGCTGTGATTGGTCAGATGACAGACCCAGTCAGTTATTGTTTGTTAGCATAACGCATAAACATATTGATAAATAGGGTTGGGTATCGAGAATCGAGTATTGATTGGAACCGGGACTAACTTTTCATTTTTCCCGGAATCGTTCAAAAGTTAAAATTTCGATTCCTAGTTTCGATATTCACAGTCCGCCGAGCGGAAGAAGAAACCACTGAACAACACCAAAGAAGAAGCATCTACCGGAAGTGTTGGCATAACCGCGCGAGTCGAACATGAGTAGCTTACGTCGGCGGTCCAAAGTGTGGCTTCACTTTTCTAAAAATAACGAAATCTCGGCAAAATTTGTGACAAAAGGAGTATTTGTGACAGAAGGAGTATTTCCTTCAGAAAGGATTATTTCCTTCAGAAAGACCATTGGTTAGCAAGGTTAGCTAAACTTTTTTGACCCCGCCTCTTAAAAGAAACGCAATCGAGAATCGTTAGGAACCGGAATCAAAACAAGGAATCGGAATCAGAATCGTTCAAATTCAAACGCTACCCAACCCTATTGATAAAGCACTGCAGTACTACAAGACGCTCTATTCTTTATGACAACTCCAATAACAGCGACAAACATTTCACATATTTTAAAAAAAAATGACATTGGAGACCTAGAAGCTGCGCTGAGCAACAATCGGGTTATATTGTTGTGGTATTGTTGCAAATATGAACTCTAACCACCGATTCTTCACATGCTTGTCCCTGGTAAATGAAAACAAAGTGGCTGAACTATCTTTGCATTGTAGAACACAGCGTCTTTTCGACATGATGCTATGATAAAGTATTTGAATGTGTAGACTTCAATCTTACACTTCCATCTGTGCGCGCAGTAACTGGGCGCGGCCAGTATGTATCTACGTCACTACAAACCAGCTAATGACTCGTTTCAAAAACAATTCATTTCATAGACTCAGAGTCGACTCTCACTTTTGAAAGATAATAACTTTATATACGGTGCACTTTCAGATATAAATCTTTGCAGGATGTTTTCATTCCCTTAGAATTATAGTCCACACCATATGAACAGTCATTTTCAAAAATCCATGATAGGGGCTCTTTAACCATGGAAGATACATCATGGCTATATTCCAATGTCAAGATTCACCCGGCTTAAATTGTGAAAGAATGGTTGGAGGAACATGAATAATCATTTTCACACATGATTAGGCTCCGCTTCCAGAGCCTGAGTCCAGAGCTTAAATTCATTGAAAGTCTTTGAGATGTGCTGGGGGATGCTGGACTCTTGCTTTGTCAATACAAGATCTTGACCAAAAAGCTATGCACCTCTTGGTGGAAATAAATGTTGTGATGTTATTTTCATCAAGAGGTGCATACATTGTTTGGTATCAGAGAATTTGAAAATTGAGAAACCGTGATATCAGAGAATTTTGAATGGGCCAGTAAGAAGCCACTCAAAGCACCTTATCAACCACATAGCAAAGCCCTAGAAATCACCCTCAACACTCTAGGATCTTAGCAGTGGTTTTTGCACAGGCAAGCATCACTCTATTATCTTTAAAAAGATAGTATTTTGCTTTTATCATTAGGGTTAGGTAAATAAGTGTGTCCAATGCTGTGAGCTGATCCTGAATGCCTCCTCATTTGCATATTTCATATTTCTAAAATAACTCTCTGACATGAGACTGCATGTCTTTTGTTACCTTTTTTCTGTTTTGATCATCTTCTCAGAACACTAACATAAAAAAAAATGTACTAAAATTGTAATTAATTTTAATTAAGGCACTAGCACTGAAGCAATGAATTCCACTCCAATCCATTTGATTTTACACGACACTAGACAGTGTTCAACAAAAAACAAAAAAAACTGTTTTATGTTTTGGCTGTTCATTTACACAACGACATCGTTTTGGGGGCCTGATAAAGCAAACTTTTTAAAATGGGCTTCAAAGTGCAAGTTTAAAAAAAAAAATCGTTACCGTCTCCGTGTAAACTAGAAAAATATGAATTCGTTCAGTCTTTAGGCATGTAGAGTTTCCATACAAAGTGACATCGCCAACTACTGGCCTGCCATGAATAATACAGCGTTTTTAGTCATTTTCGTGGGTCCAAAAAAAAAAAACGTTTCTGGCTTTAGTTGCCAGTAGTTGCCATGTAAACATACAACAAACAACTAACTATAATATTTATAAACCTAATGTTGCCTAGAATACTGTAGCAACACTTACTCAACCAGTAGTGTGAGTTTATGTAAATGGGCACACTAGAAGTGAAAAGTTTGTGATTATTACAGTGTTTGTTGTTATGTTTAATACAGCATGAATAATCTTGGCGAAAGCTGAGTACAATCTGCATTAAGTTTTAACATCTACTCTTGTGTAATGGAAATCATTTTTGATCATAATAACACAGGTGTTCAATTGTTCAATCATGGTTCTTATTATTATTAATGTTGGAAAACGTTTTTGTAATATATATATTTTTTTATGTTTTTTTTTTTTAATGAATAGAAAGTTCAAAAGAGCAGTGTTTATTTGAAATTACTATTTTTAAAATAAAAAAAATAACCTAAGAATGAAAACTGTTTAAGATTTAAGATTTTAAGATTTTCTTAGAATGTATTTGTTTCATCAGTGAAATGTTTTTTTTTTTTCTCATATGTTTTTAGCATAAATTTCCTTTAATTTTAACATCGCTCCCAATGCAACAAGACAAAACACATTTGTATTGATATATTCACATATTTTTACTGATAGGGAAAGTATTTGTAAATCTTTAATGCACCTTTTTACACCCCAAAACTTTATTTATAAAGCTGAGGGGGATTGTAACAAGGTTCATTAAAAACTGAACTTCCTGTTTAATGACCTGAGGGAAACCAACCTGGATGTGCTGGTCTTTTTTCTAACAATGCCTACACAAATCAAGGGTCACGTGCGGTATCAGGTGTGTTTGAGTGTGTCAACGACGAGAGACTCTCCTCTCGACATCAGTCTTACTCGTGTTTTCACCCACAAAAATTCATATAACACACACAAACACATACTTCAGTAAGCAGCTGAAGTAGGTTAGTCTTTGCAGCTCCCATCTGCCTCATCTGCTGATTGGTAATGATCTGTGGTTGCGTTCTACTGTGTGTCTCTCCATTTTATCATTCTCCTGCCTTCATTTTCTCTTTCTCTCTCACACACAAGCTACTTTCACGCTGTGACAGTCATTACAGATCTCACTCTGCCGTTGCTGTTGTTCATTGCTTGATACTGTTCTCTTGGCATTACTTTAATTTTGTCTTTCTCTTTCTTTTTCCTCTCTTTTATGTGTTCCCTGTTCTTATCTACTTGTTTTGTTGTCATTGTCAAAATATTCCATTTGAAATTCCTCTCCATTCAACCTTTTACCATCGTGTCATTGGTATGTATTGGCATGAATGTGGGTGTATGCCTGGATTTCCCTGCTTCTGTGTGTCATGTCAATCTCTTCCCCTTGTGAATAAATATATGTGTGTGTGTGTGTGTGTGTTGGGTCCTGAAGTCCGCCGTTGGAAGCGCGTAGCAGGCTGCTCCTGAAATGCTCCAAGTGTGGCGTGATCTCCAGTACCGCCCTGTCCAGCTCTACCGCCAGCAGCGCCATGTTAGTCTCATTCCATATTCTCTCTTTGTCTCTTACTTTCTCTCTCCATATCTTTCTTTTTTCTCTTTATCTCTCTGGAGCCCAACACTGACAGTAAGAAACAGAAACTCTTCAAAGAGCCACCCTCCTGTCAGCACACTCCAGAACTAAATCACTATTTTTAAAAATCTTTGCTGAGAAATTCCCTCAAAGAAGATCATTTAAGGCATTTCAATATTATAAATCGTAGAATAGACATTAAAAAAAAATAGTAAATTATTTAAACGTTCATATATTGTATTTGTCAAACATAAGCCTACAAGACTCACTTTTAAAACATTTTGCAATCGAGTTAAAAAAGTGTCCAAGGCAGACTTTGACTTAGCCATTCATTTTTTTTTTGCATTAGTTGATGTTTTTCTTAGCTTAGCTTTGATTTTTGTGTTGCTTGTTTTGTTTCGTTTTGTGTTCATTTGCATCTTTTGCCAAAAACCCTGTTCTTAAAGTTATTCACATTTGAAAAAACTTTTGCTGATAATTTACACACCCCCATGTCATCCAAGATGTCCATGTCATTCTTTCTTCAGTCGAAAAGAAATTAAGGTTTTTGATAAAAACATTCCAGGATTTTTCACCATATAATGCACTTCACTGGGAAACAAACGGTTAAGGTCCAAAAGACACTTTCAGTACAAACTGCAAACTGTTCAAAGGGCTTTAAATGATTCCAGACGATGAATAACGGTTTTATCAAGCGAAACAATCGCTCATTAAAAAAAAAAACACACAAAGATTAAGTTTTATAAGCACAAATGGTCGCTTTGCTCTCTTCTCTGACCCACGTCTGTGACTCTCCTGTTCGAATTGGTTCATCAAAATGAACAAATCTTTTTTCGTGTCATCTGGTTCATTCAACGAACAAAACGAACGAATTGACTCGGAAAAAGATTTGTTCATTTTGATGAAAAAGTTCGAACAGGAGAGTCACAAACGTGTGTCACAGAACAGAGCAAGGCGAGCATTTGAGCTTATAAAACTTAAACTTTTTATTTATTAAATGAGCCATCGTTTCACTTGATAAGACCCTTATTCATCGTCTGGAATCGTTTAAACCCCTTTGAATAGTTTGCAGTTTGTACTGAAAGTGTCTTTTGGACATTGAACCATTTGGTTACCAGTAAAGTGCATTATATGGAGAAAAATGCTGGAATGTTTTCATCAAAAAATTATTTTTGACTGAAGAAAGAATGACATGGACATCTTGGATGACATGGGGGTGAGTAAATTAACAGCAAAAGTTTTTTTTTTTTTTTTTCAAAAGTCAACTCCTTTAAGTATTTTGTGTCTAATTGTGAAACATTTTAAAGGCTTGTTTTTAAAATATTGTCTTTCAAGTATATTATGTCTTGCCACACAGGCAAACTATTTTACTTGCATTGCAAAATGTAAAAACGTGAACAAATATTTCACTGACAAAATACACTTATATTCAAGATCCAGACTACAGTGTGCTAATGTTGTAAATTTAGTTAATTATCTTATTTCAAGGATTTTAAATATTTAAACTAGAATCTCAGACAAAAATATTCCAAACAGGATTTTTTTTTTTGTTCTATTTCTTCAGCTGTGTTGACTGTAGACTTTAGCAAAGACACGCACATCAACACAAACACGGTGTGCTCTTTGAAGAGGTAAAGAACCGGAGTGTGGATCAAGGGCCACCTCTGATTCTTTTGGCTTTGGATAAATTGGACTTCTCTCTTCTATTTGCTGGAGGGAGTCATGTTATTGAAATGATCATGAAATGAATGATATCGCTTCTCTGTTTCTCTTTCTCTTTATCAATTTTGATTTCGTGTTGTTCCTCATCTCATTCATGCTGTCTGCTTGTTTGTTTTTTGTTTTTTTTCCGGTCTCAGCAATCCGTGTATAAAGGGGCATGTGTGTGTGGCGCCATAATACAACTTCCATTTATAGAAATTAATGAAGAGGATTTCCTAAAGGAAGTTTGGGTGGACCATGTTCACATGATCCCACCTCATTCCCTTTAATGCCGGACTTCCTCCATCCAAACCCCATGCTTTCTCTCCACAGTTAGTTAGGGGAGGACAATGAATTTGAGTCATGCTATTTTACATTTATCAAGTCAACCTTGTCTTCCTGTTTCTGCTTTGCTCTTGTATGAGCATGTAAACTATTTTAGCAGATTTGCATATAGGAGCAAATCTCTGTCTCATTGCTAATGTCCGTCCCATTGCAGTCACACACATGCAGGAGACTGAGTCAGTGCAGCGTGAAGATGTAAAATTGTTACCCAGCTGTGGGGAGCCCTTGCTTCACTGAGTTTAAGCAGACAAGTCCTCACTGACACCTAATATTTATCTAAATAGGCTCTGCATGACGCAGAACCAAAACACTCCTGTAGCATTAGCAACATGTTGGAAATCTATTAGGGCATGTTAGCATGAGTGCTCAACATTATGCACAGCAATTATTGTGTGTCCTAACTGGATTGACCATGTGTGTCTGTGAATGAAAGAAAAAAAAAATCATAATTATAGGTTACACTTTATTTCAATTCAACTTTTGGCATAATAGTGTCAGAAGAATAATTTGAAACTTTCTTGCAAAGTTACTTCTAGTCAGTAGATCGTTTGTTGGTGAGCATCAGATATTAAGCAGACCGTCTAGACTGTATTAGTATAGTAATACTCTAATGACTGGTAGACTGACTGGTAGACTTAATGTTACTTAGTAAAATGTCTAAAGTGGACAATCAAAATGAAGTGATAGCCAATAATTCAGCGTATTCTCATCCCAAGGCGTCATCTAAACGACAATTTTGACCATGCTTCAGTATCTGATGCTTTAGGCACCCTTTAGCATCAGTTACATGACGCGATCCTAGGGCGTGATCTAACTGATCCTAAAGGGTGCCTAAAGAGTCAGATATTGAAGCATGGTCAAAATGCTTCCCAAGGCATCTGTTAAATGACGCCTTGGGATGAGAATGGGCTGAATAATTATATCTTTGCTAGATTACACTTTATTTTACAGTACGTGTACTTAAAATGTACTTACCCAATAAAATACTGGTAATATAAGTTAACTACATAGGTTAAGGTTAGGTTCAGGGTTAGTACGTAGTTATAAACGAGTATTGTAATTGCTATAAATACTTAGTATGTACATGCGAAACAGGATTTTAAAATAAAGTAGGATTTCAGGTTTTCAATTATTACCACTCATTACGCATACATTAACGCTGTATTGACTCTCAGTTAAATGTCTGTGTTGCTGTGCTGGTCTCTAAACCTTATCAACGCTCCATTAAAACTCTAATTGTGAAAATAGTTGATCTTAATGGCTAATGATTCCAGGAGCAGTGATGTCACCACCTTGCTGCACGAAGGATGACATGCATTTTGCTCTGCACTCTTTCTTCAAAGGGCGTCATTATGGAGCTCTTGTGTGGTTCTCCCTCTGCTGGCGCTCACGTGGATGTCAGCTGTGCTGGCCATCACAGACCGCCGATCAACCCTCTTCCAGGTGCTCTTCGCCGTCTTTGACTCAGTCCAGGGATTCGTCATCATCACCGTGCACTGTGCCATGCGCCGAGAGGTCAGTGGGTTATTATTATTATTATTTTTTTTTACAACACTAATTTTGAATGTGAGTTGAGACTGTGGTCTTTTGGGGATATCGTGCCCTTAGCATCAGAGAGATTGAAAACCCCTGGCTTAGATGGCATCCTTCTCCATTACAATATTATGGGCTCTATTTTAACGTTCTAAGTGCCTGTCTAAAGTGCACAGCGCAAGTGCACTTAGGGTGTGTCCAAATCCACTTTTGCTAGTTTAACGATGGGAAAAATGGTCTGTGTGCCGGGTGCTCTATTCTCTTAATGAGAAATGGGTGTTTTTTAGGGTGTAACATGCAATAAACCCATCAGAGTCTCATCTCCCATTCACTTTAAAAGCCAGTTGCACTTGCGACATGGCTGATTCGCTATTTACATGATGGAATTTGGAAGAGGAAATACTGAACGCTTCTCTAGTGAGGAAACGGATCTGCTCGTGCACATGATTAAAGCGCCCAAACAGACCATTTACGAGACAAGCCGTATCTGTATGTACACAATATTAATATTTTACATTGATATTTAAAATTTGGCACGTTTGTGTAATAAGCAGAGTGTACGCACTTGGGGTGTCACGATTCTCCAAATCCTCGATTCGATTACATTTTTGATTCTAAGGTCACGGTTCGATTCGATTCTCGATTTTTATCAATCTGCCAATCAGGATGCTCTCTGTCTTACATGCGCTTCATGAGGCACACACGCAAGGTCTCTTGGGATGTCTGCAAACTGTGGCTTATTTGAAGCGCGAACGTTGTCAACATAACTCACTGGAAATCCAAAAAAACTTCCACACCTGCGACTTCAATGAAAGAGGATCTGTCAATGTGTCTCCTGCATCTGCAGTTGCCATGCTATCTTTTGAATGGCTGTAGCTAAGTTAGAGGAGGTTGACTATAGAGTCGCAGCACTTCAACACGTGTGGTTTTTCCGCTTGGAAAGCCGAAAGGATGTGACATGGGGGCGTGGCAGCATTAATGATTCCATTTTTTTAATTCGAAGTTCGAGATTGTGAATTAATTTTGATCGAAATCGTGACACCCTTAGTACGCGCGTTGTGGACCCGCCTATAGGCGCATATTACTAGTGTTACTAACTCCTTTAAATAACCAGTTTTCAGTTGGTCAATGGCACAGTCTATTTCATTTCCCTCAAAATAGCAATGCACCAACAATGTGCCTCGTTTTAAGTCCACCACGCCCATGGGCACATAAAGGGCGTAAATGCAAATGCTATTTCAGACTGATCTCATGAAATGGCATATGTATGACACGGCAATTCGTATTTCCATTTTTGGCGTGCTATCAACACGCATAATCGCTTTTCAGCGTTTTTATGAACGCCGTTGACTTAACGTTACATTACTGTATGTAAATATATGAGCTACCCCAACCCCATCACTAAACCTACCTGTCACTCTGGTTAATACCATTTATGAGTCTTCCCCTACCATCCTAGAAAAAAAAAATCGCTCCCCAGATGTAGATCTACATTTTGTTTCGTTTCGCTCGGACATTTAATGGCGTGTACATACACGCGGAATCACTCGGACATTTAACGGCGTAGACATACACGCGGATAACTCCAAAATGCGCTTAGATATCACGCCTATGTTTACGCAAAAGTCATGATGTCATGTTGGCTATTTAAACAATGTGACGCAGGACGTGAAAATGATAATTGTGTCGGGCTGAAACTAGCAAAAAATTGTGCTGGGTGTATGATAAGGCTCTATGTGTGTGTGATTGGCCATTAAACATTAAATGATGCTCTGTTATACTGCCAGTCCTAGAGGACAGTCAGGGGTGTATTTTAATGGAAACTGTAGGAGGAGCTTTATTTGAGTCCATTATTTTAAGGTCCACTTAGGAGTAAAACTTGGCTGCAATACTTTTGCGTTATAATGGGTTGATCTGAGCATCCATAAATAAATCATCTTATGGGTCAAACTATAGTCAAACTGTAGCCAAAATGTGACAGCTTCAACTCTCCAGCCTGTTCTGTGATAACTGTGGCTGACTTGCATGCATCGGGTAAATTAAAATATGCTGCAGGAGTTTGAGAAGGGACAGAAAAAATCAGTTCCAAATCGCTAAGCCATATATGTTAAATCAATATCACAAAACCAAAGGATTAGAGTAAAATAAATCCTGGTATTATTTTAGTAAATATATGAAAATCCCTGGCAAGGCTTTGATGTAATCCCTAATAGCTTTAGCAAAACAAGGGAGTGGAGTGGAGTGGAGTTTGTGCACCGGATCCTTGCGCTATATGCAGTTTGATGTGCGAATTACGCTTTGAAATGGCTGAGCCAACAATAGGAAGGCAGCATTCGTGATTAGCACAGGCAAATGAGTGTGGGAATAGTTTGTTCTCATGCATTAGTGAAGATAGAGAGAGTCTAGAAGGCATGCCATCGGCTGTCACTCTGATACTTCTACAGCTTTGACTCAGCAGACAGTCATCCATAAACAAATTGAGAATGAGACCGTCTCTTGCTCTGTCTTGCGAAACAGAATAGTGTTCCTGCACATCATAATTTTAGTTGTGGGGAGGGAGGCAGACTGATTACATATTCTGGTCTAGGCCAGTGAATAGTGTTGCAGCATGATAACTCATGCTCAGTTGAATAGAAAGAGAAGGGATTTACTAAACAGTGCAGAGAATGTGCAGTCAATAAATAAAGTGTTTCAACAGCATATGTTTGATGCTATTCTGAGGACGCAAGTAGATTAATATGTCATTTGTTCAGAGTGTAACCTTTGTAAACCATAAAGGTCGTGTCAGATCAACCACTTGGGATATGTACAACATGTTGTAGAATTAACGAGTCTAAAATGTGCCTCCAGTGAACACATGTGATGGGATTTTGTCTTGGTCTGAGATCAGGCATGTCACAAATGTTCTGAAAAGTCTTATGCATGTTCACTATCATTTAAAAGTTTGGGGTCGGTAAGAAAAAGTCTCTTATGTTCACAGAGTCTGCATTTATTTGATTAAAAATACTGTTAAATCAGTATATTTTGTGATGCAAAGCTGAATTTTTAGCATCATCACTCAAGGCAACAGTATCACACGATCCTTCAAAAAATAGTAGGTTCATAAAATATTGAAATCACGAAATGAAAATTAAGATTTCATTGTATTAATTAAATTAATAAATGTGTTCAGTGGCATCACATTCATATACACAATTACTGAATTTGACATTATGACCATTTGATTGTATTGTTTCTTTCTGGGGAATTATAGAATGAATAAAAATACTTTCTAAGTTGTAAGTCTGTTGTAAGTTTCAGCATATAACCAAATATTTATGTGTAAACATTACATCTACACACACAAATGAGATCAGGCAGAGTTTGGTGATATGCTCACCCGAACTTCAAGAATGGTTCACTCTCAGAAGAAATATGAAAAATTGTACCTTTAGGGATACAACACCTTGTCACTTGGACAGTACTCTCAAAGGGATATATCTGTACCTTGTTTACCCTCATAGTAGTACCTAAGGGCACATAATATTACCCAAGGGTACAAATATGCACCTTATCAGCATACAAAAGTGCCCGAGTGTCAAGCTGTTGTAACCTTAAAGGTAAAAGCGTTGCACATGTTTCCCTCCTGAAAGTAAATCAAAGTTTCAATTCTAAGGCTACATTAGAGTGAGAGTGTATTCTACAATTCAGATTAAACATTTTAGAATAATTAAATTCATTTTACACTCAATATATGTCATTTTGGTTTAGGCATTCAGTGTTAACGAAGAAGAGTTATGTTATTGTTTTTGTTAACTGCTTTCATTATAATCATCCATCACTGCATAACATGTAGAGTACATTGATTCTTAAAGGAGTAGTTCACTTAAAAAAAAAAAAAAAAAGATGTCCACGACTTTTTTCAGTCGAAAAGAAATTAAGGTTTTTGATTAAAACATTCCAGGATTTTCTCCATATAATGGACTTCATTGGGAACCAAACAGTTCAAGGTCCAAATGAGAGATTCGGTGCAGCTTCGAAGGGTTTTAAACGACACAAGGCGATGAATAAGGGTCTTATCTATAGGACCCTTCAAGTCATGACTCGAAAAAAAAAAAGATTAATTTAATTTTGATGAACGAGTTCGAACAGGTGAGTAACGAACGTGCATCACAGAGCAGAGCAAGGTGAGCATTTGTGCTTATAAAAATTAAACTTTGTTATTTATTTTTGAAATGACCGATCGTTTTGCTTGATAAGACCCTTATTCATTGTCTGGAATCGTTTAAAGCCATTTGAAGCTGTACTGAAACTCTCATTTGGACCTTGAACCGTTTCCCCTTGAGTCACATGTGACTCAACATCAGTTTATGTCAGTATGTTACTATGTCCTCTTGTAATTGTATCACCTGCTGTGCATCCAGATATAGTGTAAGAAAAGCTCATTTATTATCTGTTATATCTTTGTTGGCAATAAGAGCTCTCATCTTCCCACTTACAATGTGCTTTCACTTGGTCATTTTGTAGGCCTTGTGGCCATAAATTTGTATGCAAATGAAGTGGCATCCCGTTGCTAAGGCTACACTGTCGTCAGGGGAAACGGCCTATCACGTTGTCTGTTTTGTTTTGTTTTTTATGAAAGAGAGTGTCTTCCTCTCTATTATTGTAGAGCATATGCATCTGCAGTTCTGTAAACCCTTCCTGCAGAAACGCAAACTGCAATGTCACAGAGGAATATAAACTAATATCAACGTTTTATGAGAAATTGCATACGGATGCCCTCTGTAGATTACTAAATTAACTAGATTAAACTGATAGATTCTCCGAAGTGAATCGAATCTGCCAGCGCCTTTAGGATATTTACTTTCATCATTAGTTCCATGTAAACATTTACATGATTGTGGAAAGATATTCACCCCCTCCTATTATTTTTCTTTTTTCTAATAATGATGTAACAATCTTAAAGGAGTAGTTCACTTTAAAAAAAAAAAAACTTTTGCTGATAAATTACTCACCCTCATGTCATCAAAGATGTCCATGTCTTTCTTTCTTCACTCGAAAAGAAATTAATGTTTTTGATGAAAACATTCCAGGATTTTCTCCATATAATGGACTTCAAGGGGAACCAAACGGTTCAAGGTCCAAATGAGAGTTTCAGTACAGCTTCAAAGGGCTTTAAACGATTCCAGACGGTTTCACCTCTCTCCGCCATTTTACGCAAGAGGCTATAGGCAAACGTTAGTAGACTGAAATGACTATAATCCACAATGGTCTATTACTGCATCTACTTTGTATGTACAATCGTCCACATCCGTATCACGATGCATCGTAGAATCCTAATATTCTGCTGCTGTGTGATTGTCATTATAGAGGTTTGAAATTACGATGTTTTCATATTTGATTGTTTGCTTTCTTGTTTTAGATTTCGATTTTGAGCCTCTATGATTTACCCTGGTTGCATGTCATGACTTCCCACCTCAGGTGCAGGATGCAGTGCGCTGCAGGATGGGTGGCTGCAAAGACGACAGTGAAAACTCTCCGGACTCCTGCAAGAACGGCCAGGTGCAGATCATGGTGAATAGCATTCCATTCCATTTCATCTCACATGGGACTCTCAGAGGGTCGGCTCCTCCTCTCTTAAACAGCATGGGTTACTGGGTGATTGTAGAGGATTTTTAGTCAGTGTATAGTATAGTTTTTCTAGTTCGACCTTACAATATTAAAGGGGTCAAGAACTGGCTTTTTAAATTTTATTATATTGTTGTCTGAGGTCAACTTATGACATTCACTTGGTTTTTGCATTCAAAAACATCAAAATGAATAAGTAATAGTCTATTTTTTTTTACTCTAGTTTTGAGCCTAGCTCAAAAACGCTCAGTTTTTATGGGCGTCTCACACTGAAGACTTGGAAGTAAACACCCACTGCTGTGAGTGGACAGTTTTGCAATATTATAATGAGTTTCAACTCACCTCGTCGGTGTATGTGTGTTGCACCATTCCTGTCAGAGCCAATATCGGCGCAGCACCGTTCTTTAATCTTAATCGGTCTGCAAATCCCGTCTTGTTGACAAAACAATTCTCAGTGAAATGAAGTGAACAGACGGATGATATTTTACCCTCATCAGCTGGAACGTCTTGAAAAATAAAGTTTAATCATGCCTTCCTATTGGAATCAAGAGGAAGCTTATGCAGCGACTGTCTTCTTCCACAACTAGGCACTGCACAATATGTTTTTTTGCTCGGTAGCTCGATCCGGTTTTGTCATCACGAGGTCGGCCTATGTTATTTAGCTCTGCGTGTAATGCGTGAATCGGTGGGCGGGGGTAAAGTGGCCGTGTTGAAGTAGGCGTTGATCTTCTTCTGCAGGGGTGGTGTTTTATCCTCTTTGACGTCATTGTTCCCCACTCGTTTGCTGAGCCTGGTGTCAATAAAAGCTTTTATTGGACTAACAAGGATGCTTTCAGTTCTGAAACTTACAGGATATTTTTATAATATGATGACCTCTTAGATGTCAAAAGCTCAAGGGAAAGTTGATTTCTCAGTTCATCACCCCTTTAAAATGTTGTATAAATGTTTAATGTTGTGATAAAAAAAAAAAAAACTGACCAATAATTATACTCTACAAGAAAGCAATCAAGCACGTCAGTAACATACTTAGCACTTATAACCTTGTGGGATATTTTAATAGTTTTTAAGCCCTTTACCCAGTGCCCTGCAGTGATTTGTTCGTGTCAAAGACTAGACTGTAGCCATGGTAACTACAGCAGGAACTCTTCCAATTGTGTGTGTGTGGATAGGTTTGGATGAGAGGGATAACCACCCCTGCAGGTCTGCTCCACCTTTCCACTTCATTTCCTCAGCTCACCGCTCACTTTTTCTCTCTCCACCTTTCTCTCCGTTCTGCCTCTTTGCCGGCAGAGGTGCCCACACCAGCCCAGCCTCTACAGTCAGGACCAGTGTGGGTCACTCCGATATCCACCTGGGTGCTGCCAAGGCTGCCACCAAACCTGCCCCACCCACCCTCCTCTAGCCTTGGCCAATCACATTCATGGACACAGCCATAACCACACCCACAGTCTCCACCAGAACCACACTCAGACTCTGAACCACAACCACCTTCTCAATCACAATCACAACCACAACCACTCCCACGGCCTAAACCCCAACCACATCCATTCTGTCAACCATACTCTCGACAAGAACCACACCCTGAACCACAACCACGTACATACACTCAACCACAACTGTGCCCACGTTCTCCGCCAGAGCCAAGTCCTGGAGCAAAATCACATGACCGTACGTCTCTGAAATGAACGTGATTGCATGTGTTTGCTTTAGAGTTAGTGCTGTCAATTTGTGTAGCTGATAGCATACGATACTGTGAGCATATTAGCCCGCTAATTAGATAAGTGGCTAGTTGTCAGCAGATCTGACTTTAATTATGTAGTACAAAGTAACTTCATTTCCACGGCTGTGCAGTAGAAGTTTAGCATAGTCGCAGGTCTCTTTTCTTGCCTTTTCTTTTCAACTTAAACATGCAGGTATATGCATACATATAAGTTGCTCTCACTGGGAATGCTAAAATTGCTCCGCAGTGTAATGCCCTCACTAAAGCTTTATTTTGAACTCCTTTGAGAGTCAATTCTTTTGGCAGCACTAACCAACACTGAATTCCAATGAAGGCCTGGAGTTTAAAAGAGCTGCTCTCGGATGGACGTTTACGGTTTACCCTGAGGGACGCAGTCATTTTGCGTCCATTGTACTTTTTGTTTCTTTTTAAAGAGTCCTAACGTCTTTTCATAAAAATCATATCCGTTCGTTTTTTTTTTTTTTTTTTTTTTTTTTTTTTTTTTTTTTTGGAAAGTCAAGCCCAGCTGTGTCAGACTGCAATATGCTAATTTATTTTCACTTCGGTTCAATGTAATTAGTGCTGGTGCTAAGGGATCTGCTTTTATTGTGTTGAAGGTGTGTTGCATTAGACTAGGACTTTATCAACTGTTTGCTAAAATGAAACTGTTTCTTTTTGATGGACTTTAACCGCCACATACTGTCTGTTACTGCCCTCAGCTCCACCCTACACCATGCCAAAGTTGTATGACTGTATGTAAATTATTAAGAACTGGCATCTATATTTATAGTTCACTTATGGATGGCATGTCGTTTCTAACAAGATTAAGTTATCTCTCTTCTGTCCTTCACTCACCTGCACAGACGGACTTTGAGAAAGATGTGGACTTGGCTTGTCAAACGGGTAAGTACTTCTTTTACCCTCCATTATGCTTTTCAATATTGCACCTCTTTGCTTTCTCATTTTTGCACTTCCCTCACCGGTTCTTTCACATTGGCTTGGTTCTAATGTTGTTTGTTTGGTTAAGTTTGTTAATGGAAATTTAACCCTGCACATCGTTGTTTCCCCCTCACTTGCAGAGAGAGGACACCCATGTAAGTCTCACACTTAAGTTGGCAATTTGTGTTAGACTAAAGTATTTTGTTGTTTTGCATAAATTGACATACTAAATGTGCATTTTTACTCTTTAATTACCATACCCTTATCATATTCAGCATACTAGGGCATTCATTTTATCTTGGATAGATTTTTGATCAATTCTGTGAATGAGAAACTCCCACTGTAATAGTATTAACCTTACATATTTAAAAAAAAAAAGGAAAGTTTTTTTTTCTTCTATAGGTATGCTATTTTAAGTTAATTTAAATAAGTTTTCCCCTGTACTTTTTCACCTTTTGACTGAGTTATATTTTCTCTTAAATGTGACCTTATAAATTATGTATGAAGTGGTTAAGCCTTTACGGCTGATGGTTTTTCTCTTAGAGGAGCTGTTTTGTGCATGGCTTTCCCTGCTATCCCTACTCAATTCGACTGAACTCCTGCTGTAGCACCAGCCTTTGCAACGGTCCAAATTTGCATGCTGAGAAACCTACTTACTAACTCACCTGCGTGAAAATGTTTGTCCTTTCTTGCCCTCACTGCCTTCTGCACTTTTGACCCATTCCTGCTCTTCTGACATCTGCATTGGCATGCCCCATTTCTACGTAACTGAGCTCATTTTCATTCGTCTCTTTTCTCATCATTCCCTCCACCGATCGCATTCTCACTATCTTCCTTACTCTGTCACTGCTTCAACCTCTCTCCAAAACATTTGGGTTCTATACCTTTGGCAACTCCTGTGTAACCATCTTCCTTCCCTCCCCTTTCCCTTTCTGTAATGTATCGTTTCACCATCCAACTTTCTGTTGTGATTGGTTTCTCTTTTTGCTCTTTGCCTCTCTGTCCATCTGTGTGATCTTGTGCACTCGACTTCTGCTCCTGTCTCTTTCTTCCTCCCCCCTTCTGTCTATCTGTTCTCTCTCTTTCTCCCTTTCTCCCTACCTCAGTCATCTTTAAGGAGGTAAACACCTGTAACCCTGCTACCATAACTGGCACTCTATCCCGCATCTCCCTGGATGACGAGGACGACCCCAAGTTGTCGGCTCATCAGGAAGGCGTTAATTTCAGCAGCCTACCTGGGAATATCCCACCGCCTAGCCTACTGGTGCAGGTACCTGCTTTGGGTACCCTGAATGAGCTAAGCGAGCAACCGCTGAAGAAGGATGTCAATGTGGAGCAACTAGGCCAGCATCAGCGATCCGGGCCCATCTACCTGTGCACCGAGAGTGGGCTGGGTTGGACCCGACCAAACCCTTCTTCCACCCAGGATTCAGCTGGAGGAGGTGGGGAAGGGGACTACATGGTGTTGCCCCGTCGGACAGTCAGTCTCAAGCCCCCTCCTCCACCCCAGGATGAGGGGAAGCCCCTGAACATTACAGTAGATGACCCTCCCTTTCCTCCGCCCCCTTCACCCTTGACTCTGCATCCAGCTGAGAGTGAGGCATACCCTGCAGACTTTGCAGCTGTGGACCACATCAGCATGAACCTAAACCGCTCCTACAGCACTCTCAAACATTTGCCGGCCCACACCGGCCACACGCACTCCAACACCCACACCCTGCAGGTCAAGCAGAATCGTCCCTCTGTCCGGCAGATCCTTACCTCGGGAACGGTGGAGCACACCAGAACCCTTCCCCGCAACCTGGGCAGCACCAACACCAGCCTCTCGGCTGGATCTTTGGAAGTAAGTAGGGGTTAAAGTTAGGGGGTACATTCTTTCACAATCTTGAACAACCGTCACTTCTGAATGTCCCAGGGTATTTTGGTATTTTTGCAATTTTGGCATACAACCTAGGTACACAATAGTGCTGAGATGAAACCAAGCATGAATGCAGTGATTGCAAAACCAGCGCAGTCTCATCCCAAGACGTCATATAACTGACGTCTTTTGACCATACGTCAACATCCGCCTTTTTAGGGTACCCTTAAACGTCGGTTAGATCACGTTATCGGATCCTAACCCTCCAGTCCTAAACCTACCCCTAAACCTAACCGACGTTAAAGGTAGCGTCAGTTGAATGACGGCCCGGGATCGACGGCCCGGGATCGTCATGTAACCGACGTTTAAGGGTACCCTAAAAAGGCGGTTGTTGACGTATGGTCAAAAGACGTCCCAAGACGTCAGTTATATGACTTCTTGGGATGAGACTGTGTTCTGCAAACACGCCAACCTAAACACACAAGCCGTAGAATCTTACCTAGCAACAGACAAATTACTATTGATTTACGGCTAGTTCTTCCAAAATCATTTACATTCCCAACATGTATGACTTTCTTCAGTGAAAAATAAAATATATTTTCAAGATTTTTTTTTGTACTTTTTGTCTACACAATGGAAGTCAATGAGGTCCAAAACAACACTAGACCCCATTGACTTTTGTTTCCAAGACATCTTCCTTTGTGTTCCGCAGAAGTCATACAGGTTTGGAATGACATGAGAGTGAGTAAATTATCATTTTTGGGTGAACTCTCCCTTTAAGGTGTTGTTACAGGGAGGGCAATACCTGTTACAGGAGAGCAATACCATGGCTGATTTATCTTATTAGTAGTGTCTCCTTTCATTCCTGGTCTGGATGATGGTACATCAACTGTTTGTCCCAGAGTGAATGAATGCATACTGATCATGTAGCAACTCTCTCATCAGTCCATCACTGGAATGCATTCAGGTGTGCCTTCTAAACCCAGAGTCCCCTGTCAACATGATGTTGCACAACTTGGTGACTGCATCAGATTGGGTGTTTTTGTATGTGTGTGTGTGCAGTTGCGCTTCTCTCTATAATTACACTACAGCCCCACAAGGAGGAACAGCAGATGGTGAGAGAGAAACAGCCAAAGGAAGTGCTTGAGAGAGCCCGCATTCCTTCATTTAATGACACAAAACCTTCCCGCTCTGTCTCATACATAGTTCTTGGGGCTGGGGCATGAATTTATAAACTAAAGTGAGCTGTCAAACTTAAAGTCAGCATCAAATTAGTAGGTTCTATTTTTTTATTATTATTGCACAATTTAAACATTGTTCTTCATCAAAATGTAATAACTTGCTCTGCATCTAAAAAAAAATAAATAAATCAACTAAAATCACCCTAAGCCGTCTGGTTTCAGACACTGTGCCTGAAACTCCAAATGGAATTTAATGGAAGTGTTTAAGCTTCAAAACATTTTGGATATTTTATCATTTTTATACAGTGATTCATCATCAGAATATTTTTTTTTTTAAACGAAACACTAAAAATGAAAGTATAACAATAATATGAATACACCAGAATGGTCTATCATATTTTGTAAGTGCGGCAAATAACAGGTAAACTGAGAACATGCTTATAAGCTTCCGTCTATAAGGCCTAGTAGTTTTTGGCAAAATACTAATTTATCAACTTTTATTTCCCATTAATTAAAGTATGTATTTGAGCTTCATTCTTCATTACCTAGTTTACTCTGAATTATACCATGGTCTGGGTGAATACTCGATTCTGATTGGCCGCAGGGTGTCCGTTAAAAAGTGATAGAGGACACCTAGTAAAGTAGTTCTGGTGAAACTGCCTGTTTACCATTCGAAATTAATAAATAAATGCGCTGCCTACAACGGCTGTGAGTAACCATAGCAACAGGCAGTCACATGCTCTATCATCTAACGTTAGATATTATAGCCTAATACAACAATGAGCGACTTCGTGCTATTTCTTTTAACATTTATGGAGAATATGGCAACTTTGACGACTGGTATGCTGCAATAAGAAAGAAAACATGTAAATAAAACGGAGAAAATTACACCGCTGCTGCTCTGCTCCATTGAACGCTATTGGTAACGACGTAACTTGCGACCATAGTTGGATAACGATGCTTTCGGGAAACGCACCCCTGAATGAGAGAGACCCTGTGGGAGTTTTACGCAGCTGTCCAGACAACCAAGGCAGGAGAAGGCTGAACGTTACAGCGTTTCAAGCCTAAGGAGCCTGAGGCAAATGACCCTCTCTTTGATCTGATTAATTTATTGCCCATAACGTTAAGCGCAAATCGCTGGAGCTTTTTTTATTGTTGTTTGATTAATTGTTTTATGTGTAATAAAAAAAAAAAACTATGCCTACCTACCTTTGTGTTTCATGAAAAAAAAAAAAAAAAAAGCATTTGTGAACCTGAAGGGATACGAGCTAAGCGGACTATAAATATCTCCGGTTGCTAAATAAGCAGTCAGGCAAGGCAAGTTATTATTTGTAAAAACTAGATTTAGCCTAATTAAAATATAAACTAATGTTTTAAAAATGTTTTATTTGGCAAGTGACCATGGTATAAGCGGGTTAATGCCCTCCGAGGTGTCCATTGTCAGGTTTTAATGGACTTCGGCGGAGGCAACCGTCCTCCGCTGCGCGTCGGCCGGTTTACGCCTCGCCGTCGTCCATTAAAACCTGACAATGGACACCTCGTCGGGCATTAACCCTTACATAAATCACATCATGGAAGTAAAATATTAATTTCATGTTGACTTTAAAAATGTGTTTTAATGCTTTGGCAGCTGACCACCTGTGAAAATACAGAAAATGTTTCTCAATCATTCTCTTTCTGCCTCTGTCTCGCAGACTTACTCATAAGTGCCTTGGTTGTTAGAGTATACATCATTTAATGTACCATTTTCATATCAATCACCATGCTGGAAAGGCTGTAATACACCAGTTTTAAAAGTGATTTTTAAAACTTTTTTTCTCTAAAGAACTCAAGTTTGGTGATGTAAGCTTGGGGTCACAAAGGAAAAGGTTCCCGGGTATTGATATTTTAGTGGTCTTGAACACTGCGGAGTTTGTAGTGCTTTGGCTTGCTGTCACCTAACTCACCAAGTGACACCTTAACTTTGTCGACGACTAACTTCTCACACTTTAAACAAGGTATAAAATGTGATTCACTCTCAACCTCACTTTGTGAGTACAGTATATGCCTAGGTCTTGACTGGTTAGTGTTCAGTGAGTTTGGGGTTGTGACAAGTTGCCTCAGAATGTGTACAGACATTGGTTAACTTTATTTGTGAGTGTGTTTTGAATAATCTCTTAAGTATATGCTGCCCTACAAAGCAAAAAGGCAGTAACTACGCAGAGTGCAGAGCTGACAAAAATGACTTTTGCTAGGGCTTTTTGCAGTTACTGTACAAACGACTACCATTTTTCACTAAAACGACATGCATTTAAGATAAGATGTTTTGTCCTATAACAAAGGTTGGCTTGAATGTCATGAAAATTGTAATAATTAATGCTTTACCAAAACTGCAGTTACTGCCTTTTTGCTTTGTAGGGCAGTATGGCATTTTAAGCCTCGATTTGGACAGCATTTTGTTTGCTTTCCAGATTGCCTTACAGGATGCAGACATAGGAAACCTCTCAGAAATCCATAATGTACTTCAATAAATGTCCATGGTCCAAAATTATTTCTCAAAAGTGTTAAATGTATATAAAACTATCTAGGCATCAACATCTAGCCCATTGGTTTAAGACAATAGTCTTACACTTGCCGGTGTGTGAGCCATTCACTATAAAGTGACACAAATCACCTACTAAAGAAAACATTTGTCGTGATTCACATGTCGTCAGATTTTAGAAGTTTATATATTGCAGTATGTAATTGATATATTACATCAGAATTGTATATATTTTTCAACAGAACTCTATGTTTTCCAATCCAATCCATTTTGGATGCTGTATTTTATATATGCAAATTGCATTATGCAGATGGGCAAACAAAAATTGTTAGTACTGAGCAAGTTGCTTCTGAGCAAGTGTTCTTTTGTTGTTTACCGAAGATTAGAGATGTTTACAAAACTGAGACATTTATGAAATATCATGCCATTTTCCAAACATACCATAGCTTCTGCTGTTTACAGTACAGTATATGCAGACACATACTTGCCATTTCAAAGGCTAAAATCATCATCACTGATGCTGTTTTATGGAGAAAAAAAATAGTTTTTTAACATCATTGTCAGGCCTATATACGGAAGAGGATTAGGGCCAAAACTGTAATAAAAAATAAAACCATCTTGAGATTAAAGTCAATATATTGTGAAATTAAACTTTCTGAAAAAATTCCGAAAAAATTTAACCAGTTTTTTTTCTTGAAACAAACACAATGACTTTATTCTCGTTATTTAAAGAGTTTTGTATTTCGACTTTTTTTCTCGAAATTTAATGAGTTTTTTTTTTCTTGAAACACAACGACTTTATTCTCGAAATTTAATGAGCTTATTCTCAAGGTTGCATTTTGACTTTTTTTTCTCGAAATTTAACGAGTTTTTTCTCGAAACACAACGACTTTATTCTTGATATTTAATGAATTTATTCTCAAGATTGGATTTCGACTTTTTTTTTTTCGAAATTTAACACATTTTTTTCTTGAAACATAACGACTTTATTCTCGAAATTTAACAAGTTTTTTTTTTCTCGAAACACAACGACTTTATTCCTGATATTTAATGAGTTTATTCTCAAGATTGGATTTTGACTTTTTTTCTCGAAATTTAACGAGTTTTTTTCTCGAAACACAACAACTTTATTCCTGATATTGAATGAGTTCATTCTCAAGATTGGATTTTGACTTTTTTTTCTCGGAATTTAACGAGTTTTTTTTTTTTTTTCTTGAAACTCAACAACGTTATTCTCAAGTATTTAATGAGTTTATTCTCAAGATTGTAGTCTCAGCCTCAGACGTCACGCCCACGGAACGTTGGCTAAACGTCTGATGCATATGGTACACTTAACTGGAAACACTTCAGGAATGTCGAAGTCGTCATCTGATTGGTTGAATTTTATCGTATTTCCGGGGGGCGTCAGTGTCGCGTTTATTTTCGGTCCGCCGGGAAACAAAGTGCAGACGTGTGATTGCGGAAGAAAAACTGTTGTGTTTATGAGTGACAATGAGCATTAATCAAGATCAGCTAAACGTAGTTGTATGTCCCCTCCATCTATTATGGAAGATCAAGTGAAGTGCTTAATTGCGAAGGGGATATCAGCCGCGTTTGTGGGCAAACATGAAACAACAGACGCTGACATCGCAGCTGGCCGAGATTCAGTATTCGGGCGCACACTGGATTATAAGGTGCATAAGATACTGCAGAGTCAAACGTTTGACTGCGAGTATTCAATGTGTGGCGGCTCGCTGACAGCTAACGTTACAGCTGGCTGTTTTGAATGAGACGAGCCGGTTACTGTGAACGGGGAGCGCTTTATGAACATAACTGTGACGCACGAGCAGCGCCGGGGACAGTGTGTCTGAGTGAACGCTCGTGAGCACGTGATTTACACACATAACCTGATTTATACGAGGTTGAACTGGCCGTGTGACAAAGCGGGCATAAGATGGACATGAGCGCGAGTTCGTGGGTGAATTTAATAACGCGGACCGTTGTTAACGAGCGCCTCCGGTGACTGCTGCTGACTGACTTGTTGCACGCCGGTCTGATGTTGTGGGGACATTTCCACGCCCCGAAACGTGACACTGAATGAAACGAACTGTAATTGGTTGTTTGACATGTCGGTCAAACGGCCTTATGGGCGGGCCTTGGCCAAAGAAAGCTGCTATGAATTCCAGACCTTCAGCCGTCAGTCTGAAGGTCTGGCTACGCGAGACTATCAAGATTGTATTTCAACTTTTTTTTCTCAAAATGTAATGAGTTTTTTTTTTTTTTTTTTTTTTCTTGAAACACAACAACTTTATTACTGATATTTAATGAGTTTATTCTCAAGATTGGATTTCAACTTTTTTTCTCAAAATGTAATGAGTTTTTTTTTTCTTGAAACACAACAACTTTATTCTCAATATTTAATGAGTTTATTCTCAAGATTGTATTTCAACTTTTTTCTCGAAATTTAACGAGTTTACTCCCACATTATAATGAATTTAATCTCGAGATGGTTTTATTTTTTTCATTATTGCTTGGCCCTAATCCTCTTCCATACCTATAGAACCGGTGGGCCAATCCTGTCTGTTTGACATTTTAAGTGACACACGTGAGGTTGCCAAACAGCCTAGAATTTAATATATTGCATTAGATGTAACTATGATGTGAGGAGCACACATTACAGTATCTTAATTCTCCCAGACTACTCTATTTGTGGTGATTTTTTTTTTCTTATTTTAAATCGAAATTATTATCTATGCAAACAGTAATGCTGTAACAACACTGCTGTTGCAGTAAGACGCCGCCCCACACACACCTGTTGGTGACTGTGAATAGGCCTACCCCTTTCCTATGTTCATGCTGAAGTTCAATTTGAAACCATACATTAAAAAAAACACCCACTGGAAAAACGCAGTTCAGTCAGCTGATGTGTATTATATGCTCACTGCACCTGCTTGAGACAAATGCGTCATGTGCACCAGAGCCGAAGTTTACTCAGGTGCTGAAAGATGTGCACTTGTGATTGATGGTGTCTTCTCTCCCCCTCCCCCTTCCCCCAGAGGAAAAGAGTACGGTACTCTGAGCTGGACTTTGAGGTAAGAGCCCGTCCCCATCTGTCCATAGACTGGTGTTTGTGCTTCTGTCCAATATTAGCTAGAGAGTTTTCAATGGCCTTGCAAAGGAGCCAATGATAAATGCCGCACTGGTGCTTGTTTCCCCCATCATGCATTTAGTATATTAGCAATAGTCCTGTCCATGGCTGAACTGTTCAGTGTTTCACATGCCTTGATTCCTTAGGCTGTTTAAGCGTCATTTTAAAATAGGGTGACTACACAATCCACTTTGCCTGGATTTTTTTTTTTTTTTTTGTGTGTGTGTTATAGTTTTATAGTAGTATATAGTAGTATATACCATAATACAATATTAATATATATATATATATATATATATATATATACATGTGTGTCTGTGGTGTCTTTACAATAAGGTTAATTAGCTAACATGAACATTACTTAAGCATTTATTAATCTTAGTTAATATAAATGTCCACATTTACTTGTACGTTATTAAAATCAAAGGTTGTATTTGTTAACATTAGTTAATGCACTGTGAACTAACATAAACAAACAATGGACAGCTGTATTTTTATTAACAAAAAGATTTGTAGTAATTAACAAAGATTAATAAATGTATTGCTCATTGTTAATTCATGTTATAATTAACATGTTGTTAATTCATGTTAGTTTTAACTAATGTAAAATAATTAACCTTATTGTAAAGTGTTACCATGTATGTAGCAGTACTCTATATAGTATTACATAATTATAGATATATTTTATGGTGTTTTATTTTTGTTTCTTTGTTTGTTTTTAGCTTTTTGACTTTATTCGCCCAGTGCGAATTCTAAAAACTAGATGAAATACCAGCCCGTTCTCATCCTTTAACGTCATATAGAACGCTATATGCAAAAACGGCGCTATACTACGCACACGGCTCCCTTTATCGTTAATATAACACGCGAACCCAAGACGTTATAAATCCTTTAGCGTGAATATGACACGTACACCCTACCCCACACCTAAACTTAGCCCTCACAGCACGTGTTATATTAACGATAACGGGTGCCATGTGCGTAGTATAGCGCCGTTTTGTCACTAGCGTTCTATATGACGTTGAAGGATGAGAATGCGTTGGAAATACTCACAAACTAATGACACAACAATATTTATGGGTATCATTCCTGTAGTCCACATAATATGGTTTGACAATAGTATTAGTATTTACTGTAGTTTGCATTTTCGAAATCTGTTCACCTTATTTCAAAATGTATCTTCGATATATCATCAATATGTGTTCTTGTATAGTGGCTAAACATAACACCATACACAAGCAGTAAGCTATATTTCTGAATACAAAGTGACCAAGGCTGCAGAAACACTGAATCAGTGTAGAGCTCTTTAAGTGTGTAGTGAGTGGCATTAGTGTGTGTGAGTGAGATAAAAGGTGTAATGAGACAGACTGCACGCGTGTGACTGAGGCAGTCTGGAGGGAATGGGCACCTCCATGGAATGATCAAATGGCAGAATCCAGCAAATCTCCAGTCTAAAGTCTCCCAATCCATTTTTTCCAGAACACACTTGTGTGCTTTTAAACTAGCAGTTCTTCAATTATGTTTGAAAGCTTAAGTTAAGTTATGACTGGATATTTGCTCTCCGGTATGGAGGCTTCTTCTCAAACAGAGGTATGTCTTGTTACTAACTCATTCAGATGCTTTTAGAGCTTCATAACCTTCTCCATTTTAGTCAGTGCTGCATGAGATCTCCTCCCTCCTGTCCCAATAAATAAATTAGGGTTGTCAGGTGAATAAAATAAGTTATGCATTTCAAAATGTAAATTAGTTGAAATCATTTGTGGTGCATTTAGTTTTTCAACTAAAAAAAATCTAAATAATAATAAATAATGGTTAGTCAGTCAGTCACGCCTTATGTTATGCTGGTTTGGGGTTTGGTGCACTTGTTTGCTGGTCAGGCTGGATTGTTGTGTACTGGCACTCGTATTCTAATCTCTAGACAGAATACATTTATGTGTAATACAAATGTGCTAAATTTGTAGCACATTTGCCGCACATTTAGCTTTGGTAGCCCTAAAACAAAGATATACCATAAATGGTAAAAAAACTTAAAATTCAATTTTTGCTTTGAAATCAAGCGCATGACATGAGAACAGTGCTGATATTCACAGGTTAGAGCGATGCTCAATGTCGGCTCCGTGCAAAAAAAAAAAAAAAAAACAAAAAAAAAAAAAACAGCTGTGACTGCAAAGTCCCTTTAAGGCAAGTCATTTTACTCTGCGGCCATCTTTGAAATCTTAGGCAGCTGTTTCAGTCAGACAAGTAGCTTCAATCTCTTCACCGAGATTAGGATTAAATTTCATATTTGAAATCACCAATGAAATCTGACAACAACCGTGTTGTTTCAAAATACTTAAAGCGATAGATACCTCAAGGGCATCCAAGATGTAGGTGTCCTTATTTTCCACAGTAGTTTCAATTTTTATATTTTTAGGTCAAAAATCATGTCTAATTTGGACTTTTTAGACGCATCTCTTTGAGATGGTGAGGTATATGACTGATAGACAAGAAAATTTTGTAATAAGATGTTTCTTATTACAAACATCAAAATTGAAACCACTGTGGAAAAAAAAAAGACACCTACATCTTGGATGCCCTTGAGGTAAGCTAAAACATCAAAAATTTATTTCAAAATGAACTATCCCTTTAAATCATGACAAAAAAGCCTAAATTTTTCAGGCTGAACCAGCTAATGTGCATGTGTGGTGACTGCGGTCATAACCTTGCATCTCATGGTGCATTCACGTGCTATGGAAAATATGATATTTTCCTCTTCTGAACTGGTATTTACCAGTGTGTTGCGTTCAAGTGCTTATGTTGTTGTAATATGGTAAAAAGATGGAGATTCAGACCTGTTATTTAGCTAAAACTATATTAGATTGCTTCATCTGAAGTCATCTGAACGGTAAATAAATGCTGTATATTTGCTAGATCATGAATAGTACATATTTTGTACAATTCACGACAGTTGCTCTCCGCCATTTTAAAAAGGTCACAGGTTATCTCATCTCAGCAATTCGCAATTCAAACTACGAGTTGCCCAGTGGAAACTGGTATTGTTTTTGGTATTTACCATAATTACCATAACACGTGAACGCACCATCAGACCACTGTCTACAGCAAACGGAGCTTCTACGGTCATGTCCACCAAAGCGTTTTTAGCCAGCTGAAAACACACGACGCTCTTGCTGAAAACGCCTAGCTTTGAGCGCTTAAGTGGGTTTTGGCAGCACGTTTTTTTTTTTTTTGTTTTTTTTTTACAGAATATCGGCAGCACAGTTTACTTGTAACAGATTTCGCAGATAATATGTTTCATACTAAAAAATTATTTTTCATCAATGTTGTTTGGTTAGCTCTTTGATGTCGTTGTACAGAAAAAAATGTTGTGACAGTTGGTCGGTGTGGTATTAGCCACGCCCCTCCTCCACTGTGATTGGACGGCTGGGTAAAAAGTGACAGTGAGCGCTGCATTTTACCCAAAGTAGAACCGTCAAGCGCTTCAGCGTGAAAAAAGCGTTCAGCACCTCGTTACGCTCATGACGTTCAAAAAATGCGGCGCTCCCATTGGAAACTGAAATTTGAAAAAAACACTTTGGTGGACACACCGTCTAACACCAGTTGCAGTTGCAGTGTCGATTGGCTCTTTTATTTTGAAGGCGGGACTTATTCCATCATATTGTGCGTTGCACTTTCTCCCATACTAATAGGACTGCATCGTCTTTTCTATATAAAACATCCCAGCCAGCTTCCAACCACCTCCGTTTAAATCTGGGAATTGGTGGAAGTGTGTTTAAGCAGGGAATTATACTGACCAGAGAGCTTTAATATTGCTTGATACCCATCCGTTTTATTAACCAATCAGAACACCACCCTTTGAGAGGATGAGTGTTTATTGTCTCCCTAGTCCTGCGGTTTATCTCAGTTACCGTCGACCCAGTTCCTCCCTGGCCTGCCCTTTCTTATTTTTGATTTTTTTTTTTGTTTTGTTTTTTTGTTTGTTTGTTTTTCCCCCTTCCTTACAGAAAGTGATGCACACTCGCAAAAGACACTCAGAGCTGTACCATGAACTCAACCACTCCACCAAGTTCCACACCATAGACAGGTATAACAGGGACCCTGCCATGTCCTCCTTCAAGGTAAGACCCCTCTAACCTGCAAACCCCACACTTATACCCAACCCAAGTGAAATAATCTCACCCTGTGCTTGCTAGAAATCCTGGATATTTGTGATACATGATCACCTATATCACCATGCTCGCACGTGCACCGCTGCAGGAGTTTCAAAGCAATAGTATCTGGAGCACTAAATTCATTACTTAAACCTGAAACACTAATAATATTATTTACATAAATAGTTTTGCTACCTGGGCCTGTTATAATGATGCTTTAACCTGCTTTAAAATGAACCGTATTCATTTTAAACTCAAAGGGGTTTATGATAACTATTAAAATGCAACATGCATACTCTAATAAACACTGGAAGCGCATTAAAATCCCTTAGTGGACTTTCCTTAGTGAAACTTTTTATTTACATATTGCAATGAAAGTCTACCTCTAACTTTCATTGAATGGACAAAACCATGTTTCATATTATATTATTTTATGTTTCACAGAATATAGAAAAGCATACAGGTTTGGATTGTTATGAGGTTGCATAAATGATGACATAAGTGAATATGATGGGAAGTAAACGGTTTGTATCCTGGTTCTTGAAGTTAAAAAAAAAAAAAAAAAAAAAAACTTTGAAAGGCAAAACATCTTTATCAGAGCATTATCTGCTTTGCTTATCCCCGAGCCTTGTGTTCTGTAAGTTAATTAATACAGTATTAATAGATGGATCATATTCAGTCTTCTCCAGTGCCTTCTGCAGTGCTGTCTCCTGCTTTCCTTGGAAAGATCTGACTGTTCATCTTTCCATTAGCTAGACTGCTGAATCTTTAATGTTCTATTAGAGGAAGGAGCGTTGCAAACATCCATATGCTAGTGTCCAGAGGCTTTTGTCATTAAGGATTAAAAACAATTGCCCTCCGAGTAATTACCTGCCTGCAATTTGTGACAAGTGTATACTTTGGTGGCATTTGCCACATGCTCACTCACTTTTCTTTTGGATCATGCTGTCCGCAGCCTGAGTTTCGGCTTAATTCAGGCCTTTAGATCACTGAGGCGTGCCCTGAGGTGGCTGGAATGATTTGATTGGCCACTCCGAAATTCTCCAAAAAAGTCAAGACCTTGGCTTAAATCGAACAGGGAAGCAATGTAAAAAACAAAAACAAAAACAAGAATTGAAACATTGATCAATGTGCACTTAAACTGATGCAGGACATAAACGCATAAAATGCATCAGACAAGAAAACATTTATTTATTGTAATTCATTATAATTTATATAATGCAATGTGTAATTAAAGGTGCATTATGCAACATTTCATGTTAAAAATACCCGTTTTTCTAACCCATACATGCTTAAACAATTGCCTGATTGGCTGAATGATTGGCTGCGATTGCCTCTATAATCCTGTACAGTAAAATAAATAAGAGGGTTTCGGGACAGAATTTGAGACTGGGCGTGACGTCATGTGCGTTCACGCTCACCTGGCTATGTCTGGCAGGTTTGTGTATTCGCCGCCATTCTCAACTCGAGCGACAAAACTTTAGTCGACTTTCGACAAAAGTAGAAGATGGATTCAAAGAGACCGGCTTGTAGTTCATTCCAAACTCCACATAAGACAAAGAGTCTAGTGCCAGGCTTCAGAATAACATGAGAGTCAATATCGGGAAGGCTTTTTAACAAATGGAGAGATCTCCAGTCTGCTCTGGGGCTCAAATGGGATCCAATACAAAGTAATAACTTAGTATATTGTTCATGAATGTGTTTCCATAATAATACAATCATAAGTGGATACAGTAAACACATAAAACAGTTCAACATGGAGATAGAGGGAAACAAAAAAAAAAAACGACGTTTTCTACTACCCCCTCACACATAAGTGTGTAATTTACTCAAATGCCTTTCCTTTCATATATTTAAAATGACTTGCCGATTTATAACTTTATTTCCTCTGAAGACATTATGACTGTAGCAAAAGATTTGTGCGGCTGATGCTCCTTTGGTTATGAACAGCTCGTGCAAGCGTGCGTGTTCTTGTGGTCCATGAGCGTGCACACCTCTGGTTGCAGTTTCACTTGTCGCCAGAGGGGGCATAGTTCTGCAAAAACTCACAGACTTGTGCAATGCACCTTTAATAGAATGTTTTTTCACATGCATTTTAAGACTATTTTGATGATTGCTCAGTTAAATGATTTAAATTTGACATTATTATTATTATTATCATCAGTTAATTATACTTCTCGGCAAAGAGTTTGTGCTTTACATGGGCTGCCGCTGTTAAAAACGTCTGGACAACCTAGTGCTGGGTTATATAGGGTTATATATACACTGTCAGAAAAAAAAAAAAGGTACAAAACCTGTCACTGGGGCAGTACCTTTTCAAAAGGTACACTTTTGTACCTAAAGGGTGCATATTGGTACCTTCATGGTACATATTTGTACAATTATGGTACCAATATGCACCCTTTAGGTGCAAAAGTGTACCTTTTGAAAAGGTACCGCCCCAGTGACAGGTTTTTTTTAACCTTTTTTTCTGACAGTGTAGGTCCAGACAAGCATCAGAGATTCATTTTCTAACATTACAGAGGATCAAACTCTTTCTTTTTGCTTATTAAATATTTTGACGGTGTAGAGCAGTATTGACGAGTCATGAAGCTTTAAACATTTGTCTTTTGATTCCCAATGGGAAAGCAATTACAGCATACAATTATTTTGATTTCATGCCGCAGGTCTCTGAATAATGTTGGCAATGCTATAATTACAACCATAATGGTGTTTCAAGAGAAAAAATAAAATTGCACATTTGTAATTATTATAAAAACCCAGTGCCTATAAGACAATCAATTAATTGGATTTCTTCTTCAGGTCAGGACTGGTGTGAGTGATTTTCCAGTAAATGTTGGCATAATTCATTTTCACATTTATGAAGATGACTGTGATCTAAAAGACATGAGTGTGCTATTTAACTACCTTTACAGTGGATGGATCCCAATCCTGCTGGATTCATAGCTATTCAAAATGGCGGAGCTTTTCCCTCAAGACCAGTGTACCTCATGAAACCACATCTACCTCAAAAACTAAAGCTGTTCTAAAAAGTGCCATGCCAGTAGTCTTTAAACCCCTCTAACAATCCGGCCACCTTCACAGGTTCCTCCTCCACCTCCACCACGACAATCCGAGCCTTTAACACGGAGAATGAGCTTCGTTTACAAAGAGAGCCAACGTAAGCATGCCAACCCCGTATTCCCAGCCCTGTGTGAGAGGGCCTTGATTTATAGAGGCTCTCATTGGTGCCGTGTAGATCCTGTAGAGTCCAAGAGGCGTAGAGGACTAAATGTTGGGTGTTCAGGTCGTGTTTAGGTCACAATAGATCGTGTTTTTCCGTAATAACTTGGCGTGGAACATTCCCTGCGATGTTGTGGTGTATTGGTGTAAATCACACAGCCTTGCTCTGTCATTGTGCTTGTGCTAGTTAAAACCCTTTCTTTAACTTTTTATTAAAAGACACATACAATCTCATTTTGATCAATTTGACCATACATTTGTATTAAAATATAGAAATCGGTTTACGGTAAGTATGTAAGCACATTCTCTTCCAGCAACAAGGTGGTTCAGATGTACTGTGTTTGGTCAGAAACTTAAATGTGTGTGGGCCAGTAAAGAGATGAGTGCACATTCAGGAAAAATCTAAGCCATTTTCCCCTCCTGTCTTATTATAGACTTGATTTTTATCCTATTAGATAATAACAGCTGGTGAGGACAGTGAGCTTAGTGGGTCTCTAACACATCCAAAAACGGCACTGTCCATTCCATCTAATCGGCTTTCTCTCTATTTTCCTCCTACATACTCTGACTTCAATCTCTTGTTCGTACCACGGGTTCGCTTCATCTCATTCTCTCTTTTTTTTTTTTCTATGGGGACAGTGGAGGCGCCTTAGTCACTTGCAGTCCGTTAAATTGCACATGTTAGTGTGAATGGAGCTTGATGCAGTTTGAAAGGCAGTTAACCTCTAAGTGAAGATGCTGGCTGGGCTGATAGCTGTAGCGGAGGCACCCCATATGGTCCCAAATGGATGAAAGACTGATACCCTGTGTTCAATCTATTCATGCTAATGGGGATCCAACAAATGAACACAGCGGGGAACTTGAGAGCAGAGGAAGGCAACGGTCTGGCTCTTGAAATATATATTAACTGAAAACTTCTGCTCTTACTCCCACATTTGTATGAAAGTGTAAACATCATACTTACAGTAAATGCATGGGGTTAGTAATAATAAAAGATTTGAACAAACCCCTAAAACTATTAAACATATGCGCGTGACCCACATTTGTTGTGGACATGACTGATGCTTCAAATTATGCATTTTTAGACATTTTTCTTATAATGCAATGGATGAAAAAATCTCGAACTTTCTTGGAAGGAGGATTGATGTGTGGTTTTTGGAAGTAAAAATATGAATTGCCATATATTTTACAGTTTATTCCTAAATAATATTCATGAACGTTCACAGTAAATTTAAGCAAATTGGAAAAAATAGAATGTACAAATATATGAGCCACCTTGTAATTTAATATTGAAATATTTTGTTAGTTTTTTTTTTTTTACCATAGCTTTTTGTTGTAAATTTTATCATGTGTTCCCCTATTTTAAGTAAATCATAAGCACAATTTAATAATTTTTTTTTCTCTTGAAGTCGTAGGAATATAATACTTATTTCATGTGTTTGATTTAACTAAAATGAATGAATGTATTTGTATATATATATATATATATATATATATATATATATATATATATATGAAGAGTTCAGATGCAAAAGCCTCTAAATGCCATTTGAAATTTTCTTCTTTAGTGATGATTTTTATCAAACTTGTATATTTAAGTTCAGTAATTTCACTTAAATGGCAATGATAATTACCTATTAATTGTTATTTAAGTGAAATTACTGAACTTAAATATTCAAGTTTGATAAAAATCATCATTAAAGAAGAAAATTTCAAATGGCATTTAGAGGCTTTTGCATCTGAAC